ACTTTTTAGAAATCTATTCTTTATTGCACAACCAGGATTCCTGTATTACTAGAGGAAATTTCTAAGTCACTGTTATTTATTTCTTGGGCAGTTTTTAAACCTGTCAACCTATGTATTCACTTTAAATGAAAACTTCATCATTCAGATTTCAGGTGAAATCTACTTGTGGAATTCAGTCATTCCTAATGGACACATATTTTATCATATCTGGAGATTTATCTGGCAGGTACTTAGTAAAGTAAGGAAATGGATTGATTCCAACAATATTTGAAGTAGTGCGGTGGGCCAAAGCATCCAACGCACATGAATAAATCAATAACACCTTTCCATTTCTTCGTCATAGCTGAAACATTCAAGCATGCTTAGGAGTGGTTGCATCTAAACATGTTTAAGAAGAAATATTCATCATTCTTTTGTTTTACTTCCAAGTACATAACTGGACAAATAAAGTTTGCATGATAATACTACTGATGGCTACACATAGCACAGCAGGACCACACCAACTACATATTATTTGCCCATATTGCTTTGAGGAACAGATAGGGAAATACTTCAAAGTCCTCAACTCCTTCTCAAGAAGAAACATTTTACAATAATTCACCTGCTTCCATTCAAGGAATCGATGTATCTCCCAAGACAGTTCAATAGAGAATAGCTGAAATCTCACTGTAACATGCATGACAAGAAAAGAAAGGAGGGGGTGGGGAGAAGAAATAGTTGTTAAAACTGGCAACATACCAAGATTCATGTTTAGTTCTCCACTGTATGAACCATTTTATCTTCTGAGGCGTGCTCTCGCTCGCTCTCTCTCTCTCTCTCTCTCTCCCTCACTCCCTCTCCCCCTCCCTCATTCTCTCTCTCATCGGACACCCTCACCACTGCCACCACCACACCCCGCCTCTCCCTCTCAAGCAATCTACTTATCATTGTGCCCAGGCTTGATTAGATTTATAGTTTGTTTATCTGAGAGCTCAATGCTTTATTGCATCCAGAAGCCAAAATACGTGCACCTCCACAACCCAGCTGAATAAAACAAACTCATTTTGATCTTTGTGTACAAAGCCATCAGCACTGGTTCAAAGTGTAGTGCAGCCAGTTCTGGACGGCAGATGCAGAGTTCAGCTCTTCTCCTGGGCCCTTGGTTTCAATTAGGCCGTCTGCCAAGTGGCCCATGTGCCTCTGTGTGCTGAAACATTTCTTTGAGGCAGCTTTTTTAAATTAGGAAATAAAGACTTCCCATGTGATTTGCTATATATACAATTTATGACAATTGATTTTTATAGTTAAAATACATACATTTTTAACATAGTTTTCTTTCTGCAAAATAGCAGCTTTCTAACAAGAGAAGAAAATTAGCAAAATGTAAATATTGCATTTCATTTACTCTTCCTACTCTAAAATTAACTCAAACATACATCGAAATTATACTAAAGACCATTGGATTTTTAAAATAAATGACTTCTTTGTCTTAAGGTGGTGAGGGGGGACAGTGGGATATAGGCAAGCACTTTCTAAGTTCTAGGAACTGTAAATAGGGGAAAAAATAAATATGAACAAAAAAGAAGGTATAATTACTTGAGATTGACCAGTTGCTCAGCCAGAGTAAATGATATTTTTCTTGCTTTTATTACCATTTGGGCCTTTTACCTCCTGAACTTTCAAACAAGTTTGACCTGGCACTAGATATAACAAATTCCAAAGCCAACTTCCAATGTCTAGCTGATTCCTGGTAAAAGCGTGAGCTAAATGCACAGCAAATGTCTATGATTCACAGCCCCAAATGCACACATATGTATGCAAATATAATTCTCACCAAGGACAGCCTCACGTGGCAAAAATCTAGAAACTTTTGAAAGCAGTTATCTAGTTGCCCCAAGCTATTAATAATACCCTCCTGTTGCTACTTAGAGGAGGCGACCAAATCCTACCAGCCCTGGAGGAGCCTGGAGGGGCAGCTACCATCACAAAAGGAAGGTCCAGGCTGTGTAAAACCCAGGAAACCATGACAGCTTGCAACCTTTTGCAAGGATTCAGGTCAACTTTGAAGAAGCTCCCATACAGGCCTAGATTGCCCTTTTAAATTCAGGGGCATTTAAATCCTAAAGACCTGGATCCACAAATTGAGCCATCACTTAGCAGATGTTAGCCACTGTCAGGGCCAAGACAAACCTAAAATAACTGGGCACCAACAATAGCAACTGAATGGTAACCAGCTGTTAGTGGTGATTTTAAGCAGGCCCCATACCATGCTAGGCCACTCATACAACAGGGACACATAAGTGTGGCATACGCTTTTTTTTTTTTTTTTTTTTTTAGTGACCAGATGGTTTTATTGAGTCATTTTCCTGTTTTCCATAAAGCTGAATTACTACATTCCTAAAAATCTTCTCTATTTCTATTTCTAAATTAGAACATTGCCCATTGCCTCAATGCTTGATTTTGAAAATGTACTGAAAATGATGGTACGATGCCTGCTTGATGCAGGAAATTTCAAGAACAGAGAAAGAAGTAACTGGAAAACATTGTTGAAGAATTCTTTGGTAATTTTTTAAATAATCAAAGATGGAAATATATGATTCATGTCAGTGTTAAAGATATTTTGATTTATTTTCCCGTTCTTAAGGTGTCATCACAATCAGAAGCTTATAAATTTTCTGTATATATCTTGCTACGTTCAGTGTAGTACCAAGAAAATGAGATAATCTTTCCTCTTTAGCACTTACTATAAAACATACACAGACTTAATGCAGCTGAACTAACATTTACCAGGTATCTACAGCATTGGCCTGTTTTCTTTTTTATTTTTATTTATTTATTTTTTTTAGTGTTTGACTCCCTGAACCCATTTCTCCCATCTCCCATTTCTCCATCCTCCACCCCATGCCTGTGGCAACCACCAATCTATTCTCTGTATCTGTGAGCTTGGTATTCTGTTTTTTTTTTTATTTTTTTGTTTTTTAGATTCCATATATAAAAGATATTGTATAATACTTGTCTTTCTCTGTCTGACTTATTTCACTTAGCACAATGGAGCCCTCAAGCTCCAACCATGTTGTTGCAAATGGCAAAAATTCATTCATTTTTATAGTTGAGTAATATTCCATTATATATATCTAATATATATACATATATTATATATGTATATATATGTATACATGTATATATATGTATGTATGTATATATGTATATGTATGTATATATATTACATATATAATATATGTATATATATTAGATATATATAATGGAATATTACTTTTATGCATAATGGAATATATACATATATATATATACATATATATGTATGTACATATGTATATACATATATATGTGTGTATATATATATATATATATAACACAATTTCTTTATTCATTCATCTACTAATGGACACTTAGGTTGCTTCCATATCTTGGTTATTGTAAATAATGCTGCAACAAACATGTCGGTTCATATATCTTCTTTTTTATTTTCAAGTTAGTGTTATCCTCTTCACATATGTACCCAGAAGTGAAATTCCTGGATCATATGGTAGTGCTGTTTTTAACTTTTTAAAAATCCTCCATACTATTTTCCATAGTGGCATCACCAATTTACATTTCCACCAACAGCACACACAGGTTCCTTTTTCTCCACATCCTTGCCAACACTTGTTATTTCTTGTCTTTTTTATAATAGCCATTCTAACAGATGGGAGGTGATGTCTCACTGTGGTTTTGATATGCAACTCCCTGATAATTAATGATGTTGTACATCTTTTCATGTATCTGTGGTCATCTGTATGTCTTCTTTGGAAAAAATGTCTATTCAGGTCCTCTGCCCAATTTTTAACCAAATTGGTTTTCTGCTATTGAGTTGCATGAGATCTTTACGTATTTTGGATATTAGCTCCTTATCATATATAGTATTTGCAAATACTCCTTTCAGTAAGTTACCTTTTCACTTTGTTGATGGTTTCCTTTGCTGTGCAGAAGTTTTTTAGTGTGATGCAGTCCCACTTGTTTATTTTTGCTTTTGTTTCTTTTATTTTTTTAGTGTCAGATTTAAAAAAAATCATCACCAAGACCAATGACACAGAGCTTACTCTCTATTTTTTCTTCTAGGTCTTGTATGGTTTCAGGTCTCACATTCAAGTCTGTAATCTATTTTGAGTTTATTCTCGTACATGGCTTAGGATGGTGGTTGCATTTCATTATTTTGCATATGACTGTCCAGTTTTCCCAGCACCATTTATTGAAGAGACTGTCCTTTCCTCATTGTATACTATTGGCTCCTTTACCATATATAAATTTATTATACATTCATGGATTTATTTCTGTTACATTGATCTAAGTGTCTATTTTTATGCCAATATTGTTTTAATTACTATAGCTTTGTAATAAAGTTTGAAATCAGGAAGCATGATGCCTCCAGCTTTATTCTTTCCCAGGGTTGCTGTGGCTACTCAGGAGTTCTAATGATTCCATGAAAATTTTAGAATTATTCGTTCCAAATCTATAAAAACTGTCATTGGAATTTCGATAGGAATTGCATTAAGTCTGCAGATTGCTTTGGATAGTATCAGCATTTTACTGATTTTTCCAATCCATGAGCATGGAATATCTTTCCATTTATTTGTGTCTCGAATTGATTTAGTTAATGTCTTATAGATTTCGATATGCAGGTATTTCACCTCCTTGGTTAAATACGGTCTTGGGTATCTTATTCTTTTCGATGCAGGTGTAAATGGATAGTTTTTTTTTATTTTCTCTTTCTGGTAGTTTGTTATTAATGTATAGGATCACAACAGATTTTTGTATATTTATTTTGTACCTTACAACTTTACTGAATTTATAAGTTCTAATAGTTTTTTTGATGGAGTCTCTAGGATTTTCTATGTATAATATCATATCATCTACAAATAGTGACAGTTTTACTTCTTTCTTTACAATTTGGATGCCCTTTATTTTTATTTTCACTTATTCATTTACTTTGCCTAATTGCTATTCCAATACTATATTGAATAGGGGTGCCTGGGTGACTCAGTTGGTTAAGCATCCAATTCTTGGTTTCAGCTCAGGTCATGATCTTACAGTTAATGAGATGGAGCCCTCACAGGCCTCTGTACTGTCAACATGGAGCCTTCTTGGGATTCTCTCTCACCCTCTCTCCCTCTACCCTTCCCCTGCTCATGCTGACATACAAACTCTCTCTCAACATAGATAAATAAACTTTAAATAAAATACTCTGTTGAATGAAAGTGGCAAGAGTGGGCATCATTGTCTTGTTCCTGATCTTAGAGAAAAGGCTTCTCATCTTTGAGTACAATGTTAGCTGTGGACTTATCATACAGCTTTTATTATTTTGAGGTACATTCCCTTTATACTCACTTTGTTGAGAATTTTTATCATAAATGGATGCTGAATTTTGTCAAATGTTTTTTTTTCTGTATCTACGAGATAAGCATGTGACATTTATCCTTCATTTTGCTAACGTGGTGCATTATATTGATTGATTTGTGAATGTTGACCCATCCTTGCATTCTGGGAATAAATCCCACTTGATCATGGTATATGGTGCTTTGAATATATGGTTGAATTTATTTGCTACCATTTTGCTCAGGATTTTTATATCTATGTTCATTAGGGATAGTGGCCTGTAAATTTCTTTTCTTGTGGTGTCCTTGTCTGGTTCTGGTATCAGAATATTGCTGGCATCATAAAATGACTTTGGAAGAGTTCCCTCCTCTTCTATTTTTTGGAAGAGTTTAATAAGGCTTGGTATTAACTTACTTTTGAATGTTTGGTGGAATTTGCCAGTAAAGCAGTCTGGTCCCAGACTCATATTGGAAAGTTTTGGATTACTGATTCAATCTCTTTGCTAGTAATTGGTCTGTTCATATTTTCTTTTTATTATGATTCAGTCTTGATAGGTTATTTCCAGAAATATGTCCATTTATTCTAGATTGTCCAATTTGGTAGCATATAATTGATCATTAGTTTCTTATGATCCTTTGTATTTCTTGATATCAGTTGTGAATTCTCTTTATTTTATTTATTTGATCTTTCTCTTTTTTTTTTTCCTGGTGAGTTTAGCTAAAGGCCTGAAAATTTTGTTTCTATTTTCAAAGACCAAGTTTTTTGTTTAATTGATTTTCTCTATTGTCTTTTTAGTCTCTATTTCTCTCTTTTTTTAAGTCTTTATTTATCCTCTAATCATTGTTATTTCTTTACTTTTACTAACTTGGGGCTTTGTTTGTTCTTTTTCTACTTCTTGGGGTGTAAAGTTAGGTTGTTTATTGGAGACTTTTCTTGTTTCTTGAGGTAGGCATTTATCACTATGAGCTTTCCTCTTCAAACTGCTTTTGCTGCATCACACAAATTTTGGCATGCGACATTGCCATTTTTGCTTGTCTCCAGGTATTTGTTTTATTTCTATTCTGACTTCTTTGACCCACTGAATGTTCGATAGCATTTTTTAATCTTCATATATTTGTGAATTTTCCAGTTTTATTTGTGTAATTAAATTCTAGTTTCATACCATTCATAAAAGATGCTTGACGTGATTTCAATTATTTTAAGTTTATTAAGACTTGCTTGTGGCTTAACATATAATCTATCTTGGAAAATATTCCATGTGTACTTGAGAAGAATGTATATTTTGCTGCTTTTGGATGGAATGTTTTGTATGTATCTATTAAATCCACCTGGTCCAATGTGTTATTTAGGTCAATGTTCCCTCTTTGGTTTTCTGTCTGGATGATCTATCCATTGATATGAGTGGGGTATTAAACGCCCTTACTATTATTGTATTGCCATCAATTTCTCCCTTTAGGTATATTAATATTTGCTTTACATATTTTGATTGTTCTATGTTGGGTGCCTAAATATTTACAAATATTATATATTCTTATTGGATTGACCCCTTTATCATTATGCAATGCCCTTATTTGTCTCTTATTTTAGTCTTTGTTTTAAAGTCTATTTTGTCTGATATAAGTATTGCCACTGTAGCTTTCTTTTCATTTCTATTTGTATAGAATATCTCTTTCCATCCTTTCACTTTCAGTCTCTATGTGTCCTTACATCAAAAGTATCTATATGTTACCTACAAGATAAGTGTTATTTTAATTAATTAAACCACTTCTTATCTTTTGACTGGAGAATTTAGTTCATTCACATTTACAGCAATTATTGATAGTTAGGTTCTTACTGACATTTTGTTAATTGTTTTCTGGCTATTTTTGTAAATCCTCTGTTTCTTTCTTCCTCTCCTACTCTTTTCTTTGGTGGTTTGATGACTTTCTTTGGTGATATGCTTATATTGTTTTTTTCTTGTCTTTTTTTATGTATGTACTATAGATTTTTGCTTTGTAGTTAACACGAGGCTTATATAAAACAACTTAGGTCTATAACAGTCTATTTTAAGTTTATAACTTAAGCTTAATCCCATTCTAAAGTTCAACATTTTTACTGTCCCCCAACCCACATTTTATGTTTCTAATGTCACATTTTACATCTTTTTGACTTATGTATCCCTTAACTAATTATTATAATCCTAGTTATTTTTACTGTTTTTGTCCTTTAAACTTAATAGTAGCTTTAGAAGTGATATATATATATATATATATCACTTTATAATATAGCTTTATACATGATTAATGCACTATATTTACTATATTAATTTTTATAGTGAGATTTATTCTTTCACATGTTTTCTTGTTACTAATAGCACCCTGAATTTTCAGCTTAAAGAAATACCTTTAATATTTTTTGGCAGGCCAGTTTAGTGGTGATGAACTCCATTAGCTTTTATTTGCCTGGAAATCTTTTTTCTATCCTTCACTTCTGAATGATAACTTTACCAGGTAGAGTATTCTTGATCAGAAGTTTTTTCTTTCAGCATTTTTAATATTTCATGTCACTCCTTTCTGGCATGCAAAATTTCTGCTGAAAAATGTGCTGATAGTCTTATAAGGGGTTCCCTTGTGTGTGACAACTTGTTTTTCTTCTTGCTGCTTTTAAGATTCTTTCTTTTATCTTTGACTTTTGACATTTCAATTATATTGTGTCTTGGTGTGGGTCTCTTTGGGTTAATTTCTTTTGGAACTCTCTTGGCTTCCTGGATCTGGATGTCTCCTTCCCTCCCCGGGTTAGGGAAGTTTTCAACCATTATTTCCTCAAACAAGATTTCTACCCCTTTCTCTCTCTCCTGGGACCCCAATAATGCAAATGTTAGTTTGATGTCCTATAAGCTCCTCAAGCTATCTTCATTTTTTTTTTCATTCTTTGCTTGCTCTTGCTCTGATTGGTGAGTTCCACTGTCTTTGAATTGACTAACATTTTCCTTTGTTTAATTTAGTCTGCTGTTGAACCCTCTAGTGTATTTTTCAGTTCTAATTTTGTATTATTCAGCTCTGTGCCTTCTATTTGCTTCTGTTTCAAACTGGTGATGTAGGGAAAATCCTGAACTCACCTCCCACAGCACCCACTGAGTTTAGAGCTATATATGGAACAATTTCCTCTTAGAAGAAAGCCCAGAGACTTGCTGAGTGATAGCCCCACAACAGGCACATGAGAAGAAAACCACGTCAAAGTAGGTAGGATAGGATGGGAAACAATCTTGCTATAAATCCCACCTGTGGTGTGGTGATCCACACTAGGAGAACACTCAAAACCCAGAGCTTCTCTCTGAGGAGAAAAGGGATCAAACCCCACATTGGGCACCTCAGCTTTTAGGACTTGATCCTGAGAGATGAACCCCCAAAACACTGAGGCCCATGCACTCCGACTACCTGCTGGAGAGCGTAGCTCAGAAGGAGCCAATTGTGCCCAGACTTAAAGTAAAGGAGACTCGCCTGCTTATATTAAAGCATTGGAGCAGGCATCTAATTTAACACACACATATAGGTGTCTTCTGGAACACTTTCTGGAGGTGGAGACTGGCAGGTGCCATCTTCTTGCTCTCCTTTTGCCATGCTCTAGAGCTCCCAGAAGAGCTTTTATATGCATCTGATGCCCAGTCTTTACAGCTGCTGCCCAAGGAATGTCTCTTGACTGCCTGGATATGGAGGCCAGAAGATTTTGCATTCCTGATCCCATGGGTCTATAATAATCACAGTCATCCAGAAAGGAATTCATACCCTAATCTGGCATCCTGATTTTTATGGCTGCTGCCAGGGGATACCTCTACATTGCCTGGCTTTGGTGGTCAGTGAGGCTTATGCTTCTGTGTCCCATGGGACTGTAATCAATAGGAAAAGAATTCTTAAACAGCTGTGACCACCTCCACTCAGGCACAACAAGAGGTAACAGACCCAGGTGCTTGATATTTCTGTGAAGCAGGCCTGTTAGCTAATCATCATGGCTGAAACCTGAGGCTCCTAATTAAATACACACCTAGGGGTAGACAGTAATCCTTTCCAGAGACCTCAGAGGGTGGGTGCCATCCTCACACTTTCCCTCTACCTCATTCCAGGACACCAGTGTCTTTTGCAGGAAAACTTTACACATAGCTGGTGCCTGATTTTTATACCTGGTGCCCCAGTTTTTGTAGCTGCCACCTAGAAAATGTTCCTTGATCATCTGTCTCTGGTGGCCAAGGAAGTTTGCACTCCTGTCTCCCATGGCCTATGGCAATTGGAGAGTTGGTTCTTGGTAGGCTGCAATCCCCACAACACTGTGCAGACAGCTGACTGAGGCATATCCTCCAATTTTTCTGTGAAAGAGGCCTCTGGAGCTTTGCTCTGGGAGACAGGCTTCAGGCTTGGCATACATCTAGTGGACTACAAAACTTCTCTCAAGGAACATAGGTTGTAGATGTCATCTTGGAACTATCCCTCTGCCCTACTCCAGCTTGCTGATATCTCCCAGAGAAGAGCTTATATACTCAACTGGCATCTAATTTTTGTGACTGCCATCGCGGGGACATGATCAGATGCCTGGCCAGCAGGGCTTACACTTGTAGTCCCCCTGAACTTTTGCATACTTTTAAAGTATTTGCATACTTTTAAAAGCTGCTGCCTGAGGATCAGTTCTTCCTAACAGCCTGAATGCAAAGATCTTCCCCTTAGGGACACTGATAGGTCTTGACATATCCTCAACTAGGGAGCTATTAAAACTATAAGAGGCTGCTTGGACAAGCATAAAGATTTGAGAGATGACAAAAGGCTGGGGCAGGGTTGAATAACAAGGATAATCTACAAGAGGCCATGCCTTCAAGGCTGGGAGAGGCATTGTTTTATCTACTGTATACAAACCAACAGAGAAAGTCAAGAAAAATAAACAGAGGACTAAGTTACAAATGAAAGAACAAGATACAACCTCAGAAAGAAACCTTAATGAAATGGAGATGAGTAATTTACTTGATAAAGAGTTCAAAGTAATGGTCATAATGATGCTCACTGAACTGGAAAGAAGAATGAATGAACATCATGAGAACTTCAACAAAGAGGGAAATTTTAAGAAAGTATATGTTTTTTTTAGTTGAGAAGACATAACATTCGAATAGCCATTTTTTAATACTCATATTAATCTATGGTTTATTCTCTTTCTATAAGGAGAAAGGTGAATAAGCTTATATAAAAATAAATCATTTTTAGGTAGATTAATTTTGATGTAATAAAATATTCACTATAGGTGAATATCTATAGACCTGGAACAGAATCATAAGTATTTTTTTCCTGATTTGTCAGGATTGTTTTCTAGTGAATTATGTCTTGGGATTAAGTACTTTTGGAAACTGCAGAATGAATGAATGAATGAATTTATTCAATGGGACTGAAAAATGAATTTATTAAATGGGACTCAAGTAACATCAATTAATAAGAGATTAATACAATATCAAGTATATATGGGGCGCCTGGGTGGCGCAGTCGGTTAAGCGTCCGACTTCAACCAGGTCACGATCTCGCGGTCCGTGAGTTCGAGCCCCGCGTCGGGCTCTGGGCTGATGGCTCAGAGCCTGGAGCCTGTTTCCGATTCTGTGTCTCCCTCTCTCTCTGCCCCTCCCCCGTTCATGCTCTGTCTCTCTCTGTCCCAAAAATAAATAAACATTGAAAAAAAAAATTAAAAAAAAAAGTATATAGTGTTTGCCCTGAAGAACTAGACTTTTGTGCACGAAAACACCATTAACATACATACATACACACACACACACACACACACACACACACACTCACTAATACCCAGGAAACTGGAAGAACTTGTCTAGAATTAAAGAATCATGGTGCCCCATCTTCCCAAGGCCCTATAAACATGGAAGACTCACTTAACCTGCATACCATGCTTCAGCAAGCATTAAACCCTACCTTCTAACAATTTGTGTCTCAGACAAATGCCCTAGTCTTCTGGAATTCAACCTAATGCTCTTCTTCTTACAAATCTTACTTGTAGATTTTGGCCTCAAATCTATTGGTGTTTTAGCTTTGGTGACCCATTCAGAATCACTTTATTGGCCAATGGCATATTGGCTTTTCACTCAACATTGAGCTTAGCTCTCTTCTCTGATTTTAACACTGACTGAAACTTTATGTGAAAGTCTTCACCTCAGTCAAGCCTGTGGAAGCCTGATGGCTTGAACAGAGCACATGCACTGTGGAATGAGATCTCTACATATGTAAACAAACAAAAAAAGATAAAAGAAAATGTGCTTAAATGTTCACCTTTTATTGTCTGAGATATAATGACATTGCTATTGAACTTAATCTGCATTAGTCTTTTGAAGAAGATGTTCCTAGGCAATTATAAATAATATTATGCTCAATAATAGATATCAAGTGTTGGTCAATTTTCAGATCCAGATAATTAAAATGCATCTCCTATCATCCAAAGTCAAGTCTGACTTGGAATCAGTTTTCACTGCTACATCAATGAAAAAAATACTAGCTTCTATGAACCCGTAAAATGTTTCCTTTAGGCTAAGAGGTTCTAAGGTTGAGAAATGGACCATAAAATCCTTAATATTTTCCTGAAACAGTCAAGTCCAAGTGAAATATAAATACAAAAACATCAGTTTTAAACAATGATTTATTATCACCTGCTGTCTTTGATCCTAAACATCAACATGGAACTCTAATTTAGCTGATGAGTTAGGCTGAACTAAATGGAGCTCAACGTAAAGCCATTGGCCTAAAATCACCACTCCAGCTTTCCATGAGCCTTTCTGCCACTACCTAGATGGTTCCTCAAAAAAGGCAAGCAAACAAAAGATGGTCCTAACTCTACCCACCTCAAGCTTGCTCGGGATAATCATTCCCTCCTCAAAATAATCATAAAACTTTTTTTCCACAGCACATTGGAAGGAGACAGATACCCTAATAGAAACAGCCAAAGAGAGGATGTCACTATCTCATGAAATAAGTGTCTTAGCCTGGATTTATCCATTTGTGTTGCCAACACTTTTTACCTTAAGTAGATTGAAAGTACTCAGTAGAAGCCAACATTATGGTGCATTGGTGATGTTAATGGCTAGTTGTGGGGGCTTATTTAGGTATAGAGTAGAGACTGTCATTAATCTGGAATTTCCTGGCAAATACAATGTCAGCAGGGGAGCCTCTGGCCTCTACAGACTACATTAATCATAAAGGAATCCTGCACCTGACCTGTAACAATTTCTGGATCCCTAGAAATTCTCTTTTGAGAGACTCTAAAGAAAGACCTCAAAAGGAAGACCAGGGACTTGAAGAAATTACATAGGAATGCAGCAAAATAGTCACCAAAGAAGCATGTGGACACACAATAGGGAAGTCAAATTTTGACCCATAAAAATATCTTTTTGTGGAAAAAAAATCAAAGTACAGTAATACTTAGCTATTTAACAGTATTTGTGCAAAAAGAAAATTATATTACATAATATTATTGAATACAAATAAAAACATACAATGTGGCTGTGAAGGCCAACACGCATGACATAACTAACAATAAATAACATGGTGGAAATTTGTAAACAAGAGTGAAATAATTAAGAATAGTGAAGTCTTGACTATCCAGATGTTTTAGACAATCATCTGCTAGTTGAATTTTCCAGATAGCTGAATTGTATTCCTTTCAGAATCCAAAAGAATTTCATTTTACTCATTATCCTTTCCAAATTATTTATGCAATCCCTTGACTTTTTAAATAGAGTTAGCTAACATGATGCAATCTAAAATACACTTTACCTAGAAAAAACACAAAATTATCCTTTAATCTCACTAATGTGACTATTTCTTTTTTAATTTATCAATACATATAGTAATCCTAAGTACCAAGCACTGTTCTTAGTACTTAACATATATGCTATATCATTTTAATTCTTATTCTTATAGCAACCATATGGACAAGAGAATCTATCCTTGTATATCAGATGAGTAAACTGAGGCACATGGGTTTCATAATTTTCTCAAGGCAAATAAAAAGTGGCAAATCTGAAAACCAAACTCAGGCTATCTGGCTCCAAGTCTGTGTACATGACCTGTATGATGTGTCATTGACTTTCCATTTCTGTTGTTTCATCCTAATCTTTATTGACAAATAAGCTTTTAAAAATATTGGTAACCAATCAGATGTCTATGTAATTCTATTATCAGTGTTTCTACTTACCAGTGTTAAATTATTGTGTATTTTATAGTCCTCACAATTGTCATTTAAATGACTATATAGTATTCTATTGGATTGACAGACCATCTTTAAGTAAATCTTTCCCCATTGTTAGAACACTTAGATTTCTTCAGCTGTTTTGATATCACTTGTATTTGTTTTAAGCACTTTGAGTCAAATTTCATGAACTCTTTGACCTCAAAGATAGTCATGTCTATCTCTAAAAGTACTTTGTACCCCTCAAACATCACTAAAGAAAAATAAATTATAATTATTTAAGTTATTCTTGAAGACTCAAAGCCATTATTACAAATATCAGTTATTTAACTATGAGGTACCACAGTGCTACCTTGGGATCTATTAAAGGTACAGGCTGTTTACACCTATATACAAAATGAACAAAGGCCACATTGCCTTTTAAGTTATAATTGTTTCATATAGATCCATTTTAGTATCTTCTTCTTTTTTTTTTTTTTAATTTTTTTTCAACGTTTTTATTTTTGGGACAGAGAGAGACAGAGCATGAACGGGGGAGGGGCAGAGAGAGAGGGAGACACAGAATCAGAAACAGGCTCCAGGCTCTGAGCCATCAGCCCAGAGCCTGACGCGGGGCTCGAACTCACGGACCGCAAGATCGTGACCTGGCTGAAGTCGGACGCTTAACCGACTGCGCCACCCAGGCGCCCCTTAGTATCTTCTTCTGACACAAAGCTGATAGGCCTCACTTCTGTTTGCAGAGTATGTACACTTCCCCTAGTTTGAATTTATGGCAGATAAAATGTTTTATATTGTACAAACAATGAATAAATAAGATCCGACTGAAGGTTGGTAGCATACTTTTATGAATTAAATGCATGGATTTTGCCACACCTACTTCACCTGCTAATGGCTCTTTAACATACTTGCCTCCTTTGTTTTACATAGGAAAGGATATTATGCAGCAGATCTATCCAAAAGTGAGCTATGGCAGCATTGCAATAATGAATGAATACAGAAAATGGCATTGAGGTAGGGAAAGATAAAAGTGAATTTCCTGAGACCTATTATTGATATATGAAATATGCAAGTAAGGATCCATGACCTAAGGGGTTTTCTTTCTTGGAATTTATAATTGAGACCCGAGGTTAACTTCATAAGCTACTGTATAAAGTTACCATACTAAAGTTAATATTTATTATTGGAATCAATTATATTCTAGAGCTATACAAGGTAGTGAATTAGGTATATGAAACATGTATATAACATGATACCTGCTTTTACGAATTCAAATCATTTCATGGATGGCCACATGAAACAACGTAGGAGAGCCTACAAACACCAACTAATAAACAATATTGGCATGGTTTTCCAATGAGAGGGCTTGATGTTACCAATGTGTTTAACTGTTTGTTTACATTGAAATGTGACTCTGTAAGTTACTTTGTCAAGCATAGTTGCTCTTCTCTTTGAGACAAAAAAAGGACAATATGTACTTTCTTGACTTGCAGAAAAGAGAAAAATCTCAGAAAAGAAAAAACTGCTCACAATTCTCTGAGAACCCAGCAGATTGGTAAAGTTTTGGCTGTGATGGATTACATTAATGTGGGAAGAGAAATACCATGCATTGTTCAGCGGCATTTTTCTTTTAACTGCCCCTTTCCCATTTCTTTAATGTTTGCCTTATATTAATAGTGACTGATATGAAATAATTAACAGACTTGTGCTGTAAATCCAAAGAGAAAATTGCAAAGAACTTAAAGATTGGCCTCATATATAATTCTGCCAGATACATAGAAAAAAGACAGAGAAGCAGGATAAAGTTAAGGAATACTGCAGTTAAACTTTATGTATTATGTCTTTATATAATATTTTTGCTGAAAGAAATATGAAAATATACACAAAAAATACACAAAACTTAGCTGTCAGCAAGAGTGAATTACTAGTAAGTGCCACTGAGAAGCAAAAGAGAAACAACATAAATTATTATAATCATCATCATCATCAAGATTCATGTATTAAGCTCACATATTTTCATTGCACTAGGTTAGCTGCATTAAAAACAAATTAAATTGGCATGGTCCCTGTCCTATAGGAACTTATGATTTAAGAAGACTACATTACCAAGACAAATGTAAGAGAAGCATAGACAGGTACACGCACCTCCAAAAAAGGCTTAAATTGAGTGAATGAAAGAATAAACAAACTAAATTCTTTCTATTATTTATTGAGAAAAGGGGGAATGGTAAGTCCTTGGAGTTCTGAGTTTGGAGTTTAACCACCAGTTGGTCTCACAGGAATAATTTTCAGAAGGTACTGTTGCAGTAATGGTAGAAAATTATCTGAGCAAATTGAAAGATTAGAAAGCTAGAACATTTGAGATTCTAAATTAGGAGTTAGGAAGCATTGTTTTGCCCACAAATTCTTAAATAGGATTCCATAAATAATGATTCCATATTTTAGTATGATGGGACATCTTTGGACTATTAAAAAAAAAGTAACGTGATGAAATGATGGGTAGAGAATAAAATATAATTCCTCTTATAAAATTTTAAAATGTCACCTATTTTCCCACTCAAAATTATTCTATTTATGCATTATTTTAGAGATCATTATATTAGAGATTATTTTTTTCTTTGTGTCTTGTAATGGTCTTTGTCCAAAATCCAAACTATTCTGATCTGACCAAAAGAAAATTTCAGAAAAAGCTATTATTAATAATTAAATTAAAATTTTACTAATCCTGAAATTCATTTTTTACATATTTAAAATGTCTTCACTAATAAAAAGAGGGCTGAATTTTTAAGATACTAGTTTTCATGATTCAGTAACTTTGATTCAATTATTTATAAATAGAAAGAAACAGCACAACCAATACGGTTCTTTAATATTTTAGCAATGTAAAAAGTTATTGTAGTAATTATATAATTTTAATTTTTAAAAACACTGTTGGTGTTATCCAGTGTTTCTTAGTGAAACCCATTTTTATGTTGTTTATTTTTAATTTGTTCTTCATTGCCTGCTTTGTAATGGAACATGTGTTTGCAATTGTATTTAGCAAAATTCATGATCTTAACATTGTACACCAAAGTCAATGTGTCTTCCTGGCAAAAAACAACCAGTATTCAAACACTTTTATAATGTTTGGGGTTTCTGTCTCAATTGACAAAATTGAAAAATATGTATTAGCCAAGCAAAACCACTATCTCAAAGCCATGTTGAAAATTACTCCAACCTGTCAAAGCCAATTGAAATTCCCTTCCCAGCCCAATTCCCAACTTCATTTTGTATGTGAAATAGGAAAAGTTGGATTTGATTATAACCACATGCAGAAGGAATAAAAAAAAAATCACATATATCTTATATTTCTAATACTACATACAATTTTCTTTTCAAATTTGTTGTCTTTCTTTTCCTTTTCCACCATTTATCCCATCTCACCTGTTCTGAATAAGTCACTTGTAGGTAGCATATGCATATGAGTAGCTTAATTAACAGTCAGGATAGCACATTTTAAAAATCCTTGCTGTACCACATCATTCTTACCTGGAAGATGGAATAACTCAAAATTAAAAGATCTAAGATCAGTTCCTAATGCAGATCCAGTAATTTGGGATGTTGCTTAATGTCAATATATATTCTTTTATTTGTTACATTTATATACCAACTACAATGGTTTTCTAACTATGGTGTCTAATTGCTCTTACTCCAGTTCTAACAAAAGGGCATGATTCTGTCCTTAAAGTTCACTATAGAAGTAAGTTCTCTCCTTTAAAATGAAACACAACTTCAGGGGCACCTGGGTGGCTCATCTTGTTAAGCATCCGACTCTTGATATCAGCTCAGGTCATGATCTCACTGTCAGAGACAGAACCAAGCGTTGGGCTTAGGGCTAACAGCACTAGAGCCTGCTTGGGATTCCCTCTCTCCCTCTCTCTCTGCCTCTCCCCTGCTTGCCCACCTGTGAGTGTAAGCACTCTCTCTCCCTCTCTCTTTTAAAATAAATAAATAAACTTTTAAAAAAGTCGACTTCTGGGGCATCTGGGTGGCTCAGTGGGTTAAGCGTCTGACTCCAGATCAGGTCATGATCTTGCAGTTCGCGCGTTGGAGCCCTGCGCAGGGCTCTGAGCTGACAGCCTGGAGCCTGGACCCTGCTTTGGATTCTGTGTCTCCTTCTCTATCTCTTGGCCCCTCCCCTGCTCGCTCTCTCTCTCTCTCTCTCTCAAAAATAAACATCAAAAAATTAAAAAAAAATAAAAAATAAAAATAAAAAAGTCAACTTCATTTCACACCAGAATAAGCCATGATCCAGAATCCAGAGGAGCTAACACAGGTTATGCACAAGATGAGAAGCATGACTAAAATATTATCTTTCCCTCAATCAATGATGGGCAGTACAAGCTACTTGAAATTTAGAGCCCATAAAATCCCTGGAAAACTTATGAGAACAACAAATACAAAACAATGACAGCTAGTGGGAAAAATAAAGGCAAGTCACTTTAAATAAACAACATAATTTCCATCTATAAAATCACTCCAAAGTCCATTGTATTTAACATTTACGACTATTATTTAAAGGAAAAGCAAAGTGTGTCCAAAGAAGTCTAAGAGACAAATATAAGCCATGTATCACATGTTCACAGTTATCTATTGATGAAATATTCAAGAATTTTTATCAAAGCATTGATATAAATACTTCTTTCTCAATTTACCTAGGGCAATTGAGACTCTGGTAGCATACATGGCACATTCAATATTTACCAACACATTATTTCCAAGGAATGAAATGAATTGGAAGCTAATTTGGTGGCACTAAAATGATTTGCGATATTGAACTCTTTGGGGTGAGTGAAGTTATGGATTCTAGGTTGAGATACTTAGGCTGTTCATGAGGTATACTTGTTTATGCGTAAAATAAGAATTCAGAGAACACTACCTGTAGGACTATGCAGACTCTCTCTTCACTGCCACAGCAATCATGGAAGAACTTGTTATGGACATGCCACGTGATTGAATTAGCCTGAGGTTCTGAGCTCCCACATGGAAGACAGCTGTCCTGGAAAGTTGCCTGTACCCTCAGCAAATCTTGAGAGAACAAATAAATAAACTGTTATGTATTAAGCCATTGGGATTTTAGTATTGTTTGTTTCCAAATCATAATCTAACTTATCTAGATTGATATATCAACCACTATTAAAAAATTGTTAATACATTTGTATTTTGCTTTTTAGTAATTATTTTCTATATATAGATATATATATATAGAGAAATTTGGATCATGTTGTAAACTTTCTTTCCCAAATAATAGTGAACATTTTCCATCATTAAATATTTTCTGAAACACTTTTTAATAGCTACAGCGTATTGAAATAAAGTTGTACCATATTTTATCTAACCATTGTTAAAATTGGAAATTTTTGCTCAACAACACTATACTAGATAACCTATTCCATGTTCTTTGTGTATACTTCTCATTACTTTGCTGAGATAAAGTTTCCAAAATGGAAATAAATACTGCATTAAAACTTATTCATATTCTAAAGGCTATCAATACACATTGTCATATTACCCTTTAAAAATGTTGTACCAACTTGTAATTTTCCTAAGAATGTATAATATATCACTGTCATTCTACCCTTGATGACTCTGAGAATTATAGTTTCTTAAAACTGAAACTCTGATACATAAAAACTATCTCACTTCTTAATTTATGGGCAAAGTTATTAGGAGTAGCTGGTTTCAAGGAGAAGATTAGGAATTTGGCTTTCATAAGAACAGAAGTATTTGATGCTATGTATTTGATTCTGTATATTTGGCCTCATTCTGAAAATGTTATTATATTATTATTCATTATCATTGTTTTATATTGATTGTTATTTATTGATTACAAGTTTTATTAACTCATAGTCTGAGATTATGACTTGCATAACAGTTTTTTAACATTAAAAATATATTATTTGCATGCAAATATATACCCATTTTTTTAAAAAGTTTCAGTTTATGGGGCACCTGGGTGGCTCAGTTGGTTAAGAAACCTACTAAGGCTCAGGTCATGATCTCACGGTTCATGGGTTCAAGCCCCACATCACGCTCTGTATTGACAGCTCAAAACCTGAAGCCTGCTTTTGGATTCTGTGTCTCCCTCTCTCTCTGTTCCTCACCCACCCCTGTCTCTCTCTCTCTCTCTCTCTCTCTCTCTCTCTCTCTCTCTCTCAAAAACAAATAAACATTAAAAAAAGTTTCAGTATGTCTCATGGGTGTGGTAGACATGGTGAATTTGACATTCAGCATCCATTCTGTCTATTTCTAGGCAATCTTTCTATACTACAGAGGCTGTAAAACTAAAAACCAAATTTCCAAAGTTAACTGGCAATTCAGTATGTAGATGTGAATTAGATTACACTTAAAATACCCCACTCCACCTCTTGAGATTTGGAAGGTGCAAGTTTGCCAGTGGGAAATGGCGGGGGGGGGGGGAGGAGGGAGGGCGGGGGAGTGGCAGCATAGAGGAGACAACCTGATTTGAATGAGGACAAAGATGGCACCACTCCAGTGCCCAGTTGCTAACTTCAAAAGCACTTGCAATGGAGGCATCAGCAGCAGTTTCCTGGTGCCTAGATCACAACCCCAGTGGTGTGTTCTTGAACTTGACAGTTCAGGTTGTATTCACCTGATTGCCCATTTTTGTGATTATGGTAAAGGTAGCTGCAACCCTGCAGGTCTATTTGGCAGTGTCATTCTGGGAATCATTCCTGGGGATCATCCCACAGCCTACTTCTCCGGCATTCCCAACCATTTTGTATGAACTAAGTTATCTGTGTCAAATGTCTTACGCTTAAAATAGCTAGAGTGATCTCTATTTCCTATAACTGAACCACTGACTGATATAAATAGTATTTAAGACTTAGCCCCTCTTTGCAGTTTCTAAATTTGACATATAGGAATGTTTAAAATAATGTGATTAATTATATTACTTAGATTGTCTATTTCTTTTTTCTACCTACTTGCATTTAAAATAACAGTGTTAAAGTCTTCAACAATTGTGATTGTTTCTTTTTTCATTATCCCCTTGAGTTATAATCCTTTTTCTTTAATCAACTTTGATGTTCTACTTGCCTTGTAAATATTTTGTTTTGTTAAAATTTCATTATTTGATATTCTCACCTACTAAAAAAAATAGCCACTTTGCTCACTTTTATGTTTTTTCCTTTTTTTTTCTTGAATTCTTTCTCATCTGATACCAATAGTGAGACCTAGAACATCATCTTTGCTTTGCTTTGTTTTCATTTTTCTTTTTCTTTTTTTTTTTAGAGAGAGAGGGAGAGCATGCACATGCAAGCTAGGGAGATGGGCAGAGGGAGGGAAGGAGAGAATCCCACTCAAGATCCATGCTCAGTGCAGAGCCTGACTCAGGGCTTGATCCCACAACCCTGGGATCATGACTTGAGCTGAAAACAAGAGCAACACTCAACCAACTAGGCCACTCACGTGCCCCTAGAGCATCATCTTGATTGCATTTATTTGATATAAATTTTTTCATATTTTATTTTTAACCTTTATAACTTACTTTGATTTTATGCATACAGAGTTTATGCATACAGAAATGAAGAATTGGTTGGTTACCTGAGGTGAGATGATAAATTGTATAGTTATGCAGGCACAGTTGAAGTGACAAACTATATAGTCACACAAAGCATGATTAAAGGAGGAATTAAGAATGAATTCAACTTACAACTAGTTCAACTATTTCTCAACCTTAGTAACATCAATCTGATGTAACAGAGACTAGTTTAAGTAAATTTTCTAAGGTAACATTATCAACATGTAACTTTTGCCTTATGCTATGATATAAAACCTAACTGCCTTAAGACACAAAGACACAACTCCACAGTTAATACTAGACATGGCTCTACCATGGCTCTGGACACACATTGTGAGCAAAAATAACTGTGGTCCATGACAAGTAACCTTCCACATAGACAAAAAATTTTCACATCAATGCTGCTTCAAAACACTGGCTTTATGAAGACGTTTTAAACAACGATTAAGGATATATATTTCATTTATAAAGCAATGGCTTGTATGATCATGATGTGAATAAGTCAGATGAACTGACAGTTATATAAACATAAAACACCTACAAAGCTACATGCAGGCAATGACTTCTACAAAACAACTCAGTCCTCTGCCTTCAGGAAGCAAGTTTCTTTTGACGTCAATTTCGGCACTGCATCCCAATTTCAGAAACAAACATGATAAAACACAGTATAGTCAATAAAATATGCAAATACACTGGGGTGTTGTTTACCTAATGGCAAATGGTTCATTGTATAAAATCATTCATTTGTAAGGAATGTTGTATTTTCAGGAGGAATTCTTGGGAATAAAAAACAAAAAAACTCAGCAATTTTTAAGACACATGTCCAAACTAACAAAACACACAGTGCAAGTGTAAACGTGGCACAGGTAAGCACCACTTACAGACTGTTGCCTTGCTGTACCAGATGTCAGCTTCAGTTTGTTGCTTTTCCATTACAATAACCATCTTGATGGCTTGTTTGGAGATTGATTCATCATGTAAGACCCTCTGCTACTGTTATAACATCAATGGCAGAAGGAGAAATTAAAGGAACACAGGAAAGGTAGCCAGATCGTATTAGATTTTATTGCTGCCTAACAAATTATCACAAATTTGGAGGCTTAAAACCATATCCACTTATTGTCTCACAATATCTGTAAGTCAAAAGTCCAAGCACCCTGTAGCTGGGTTCTCTGCCTAGGGTCTAACAAAGATGCAACCAAGATATGGGCCTAGGCTGTGTTCTATCTGTGACTCAGGGTTCTCTTCCAAGCTCATTTAGATTGTTGGCAGGATTCAGTCTTCTGCAGTGGTAGAACTGAGATTCTTTAGGACTGCTCTC